ATAATAATATATGTTTTAAAAGAGATGATAGTGTAAAAGTTGTGCATGAACACTATTACGTCCTCTCTCTAGGGGATACGTTAACTGCTACTCGACGGATTTGGAGAACGCTGACATAGGGTTTGATCAAAACTGGGGAAGTTAAAACTCATCTATCCAATGGTCGAAATGTATAACATTATAACGGCAAAATTTGAGAAAGTGAATTGAAAATCATCAAATCCTGGAAAGAACAAATGCAGGAGTAGCATATTTGCCACATCGAAGGAAGCTTGCTCTATGGTCACTGTTGGACCACCATGTCATCCATCAGTAGTTCAAGAATATGATCTCAAATATGAGATACATCTCCTTCCAACCAATGAAAGAAGAAGAAACAAATAATCCATCATTTTTATTTAAAGCAATTTGGCCAGAGAATGGGTGTCTTCCTCAACTTTTTAGCATTTAAGAAGGGTTTCTGGTCCTTGTTCTTCGTCATTTCTTTTGGCATGGTATGTGATATAAGGTCCGACGCTGGAAGCTTGAGAGGTTTACTGGCAGTGGTGATAATGAGATTTCCACTTTGCTAAACCAATACTTCGACTTAATATTTGGTGTTAAAATAGCCCTATAAGATCCCCCATTAAAATGATGACACCTTCCATTTAATTTAATTTTTATTTCTGAACTTTATTTCGAAATTCCCACTTAAATTACTACAATATCTTGATTTTACCCACTTATTTAAATTTTGTTCTACTAAATGCTGTCTTATATGTTTTTCAAAGTGGAAATTGTTGGTTATTAGATTTAATTATCAAAATAGGAAATTAATTTTCCTTTGAAGATTAAATCCATTTGAATGAAGATGTTAGATTACCTTGAGATCATTGAATGTTTTAAATCCTCACATATAAAGGGAAGATTATAATCTTAAAGGAGCTTTTAATGGCATATCTTCTCCTTTATTCTCTTTTAGGTGCATCCTTCTTTTTGAGAAATGAAATGTGGTTAACCCTAAAAGCGTATGAAAATGTGCTCATAAAGGGCATATTTATATTACTCAATTAGGGTTTGTAAATTGCACAAATTTTTTTTTTTTTTGGAATTTATTGTAATAGGCCAATTAAATCACATACTCTTATTGGAGCTAAGAGAGGGACCTAATCGGACCCACATGACTCAAGTTCCATTAGATGTTTCTAATTGGGTTAACTCTTGATCAATTGAAATATATTTATTAATCCCGACCCATTCTACTAAAAAATCGAGATTGCACTCTCGAGTCGAATAATAGTTATAAAAGCAAATTATAATTCAATAACTATTTTCTTCGATTATCTTCTCACAAGTCAACCCACATTTGACCGTCAATATATTGAAATTGGCAAAATGACTGTTTTGCACTTCAACATGTATTATCCTCTAAATTCCATTTTCATAAGATAAATTCGTTGTGATCAAATCACAATATAAAGTCCAATGATCACATCATCATACTACTTAGCTCAGGTTCAATTTGCCTATAGAAAATACTTTAGAGTTCGCAAGTATATGATCTCTAATTGTTTCGGCCCAATTTTCAAAACATTGAGATCAATCTTTTAATTAAGACTTCACTCATTGATACTTCAAAGAACTTAAACTAACAATCAAAGGTATATCACTCACTTAAGATTTAGGTGACTTGTTTGATAATTGAGTAGAGTCTCATTTTGAGTGGTCACAAATGAGTCATCTACACGGTCCTGTTCAATGTGCATCAAAATACATTATTGTTCTTATTCCAAAATCTAAACAAATCTGAGAGCCCATTTGGGAGTGATTTTTCACCCAAAAAAAAAATTGATTTTTTGATCATTATTTCACTATTTCAGCCGTCATGTTTGACTTCTTCTCTCACAGGTGGCCTCCACTTTTCTTTTAACGGTCAAAAAATTAATTCTCAAAATTATTACCAAACAGGCCCTTAATAAGAACAATACAATCTTATAAATATAAAGCGTCCAACTTTATATACTGATTGTGAACGATATATTTTTTTATTACATCACGAATTGTGTCTTACTATACTTGAACCATAAAGTATACAATTTGTGACATCCTACACGATCATGGAACCTTAGATGATTGTTTCAAATTGTAACACGCGAATAATCAAACATCAATTCATAATGTTGTTTCACAAAATACTACTCTATAGAAGGGCATCAATCTAACAAAAATGTAATATGCTTATAGTTAATTATATGTACTTTGGTTACTACAATTTTTAGTTGTCTTCAGAAGTCTCGTACAACAGAAGCATTCCCATTTGAATTTCTTGTCAGTTGTCGAATATCAGAAATCCAAATGGTAGTATTTTTGGGTGTACAAGATTTCTGGTGACAATTAGGAATTGAAGCAATTAAAATGCATCTGCATTGCATTTTAAAATACAATTATATTTCCACTTTGAAAAACATATAAAACAGCAGTTGAGGAAATCAATTTAAACACGTTATTAAAATCAAAATACACGTCTTGGTCTAAGTGGGTTATTTGAGATAAGTAGGAGAAAAAAAAAAAACAAAATAAAGATTAATGGATGGTCCTTTCATGTAGACATGTAGGACCGTCCATTATGATAGGGACTCCCAATTCTCTAGTTAGGAAACGTGTTTGTAATTGTTGATGTGACAATGAGTTGACGTGCGGTTTGACATATTGAGTGATTTATCTGGCCACGTTATTTCTATATCATCTACATAGGCAGTAATTGAAACAGATTCTATTCGGTGTGGGACAGAACAAAGTTCAGTAGCTAATGGAATGCTTGAAATTTGTTGAGTAAGTTGACATGGTACAAAGTTTAGTGACCATTGAAACATTTGGCCCCAGTTTGGCCCCTTTTTTTAAATTAAAATGGAAGGAATAGTATTTTTTTTGGAAAATGAGTGGTTGAAAAAGAAGAAAAAAATTTTGATTTATGTGTAATATTATTTTATGAAAGATTATGTGATTGAAAATAGAAGAGAAAAAAATAAAATTTAATTTAATGGGAGCCAAATGGGGGCTTAACTCCAAAATTTAATAGTACACTCTATTAGGCACTATTTGATTGGCAAAACATTTCCATGGAAAATGAAATTTGGGTGACATTTTTCCAACTTTGATGTGTTTGATAGGGACTTTTTTCCCCATGGAATAGAAATTCGTGGATTTCTTGGGAGCTGCACTTTTCTTGCTTTTGTAGTGGGAATTGATTTTCCTGGTTATTGTTGACGTTTTCCCTTTTTTTTTTTGGCAATGGAAATAAATTTTAAAAATTATTGTAAAAAAAAATATTTCCCTTTATTTGACAATTTTTATGTAAAACAAAGCCAAACAAACACCAAAAGATAAATGATTTTCTTGATTTTTCTTTTTTTACAATGGAAACATATTTCATCCCCAATACTAGTAAATTCTATCCCTTTAAAGAAAAAATAAAAGATTTTAGGGTTAGAGAGAGATGCTCTCAATTCTAGTGAGAGAAAGTTCCACTTGAATGCCTTGATTTCTTGAGTTTTTTCTTTGTGTTAGGTTTGATTTTTACTTCTTCTTAGTGAAAATCGAATTTAACATATTTCCTTTCACTTTGGTTTGTTCATATTTGAGTTTTGGTGATAACTTTCTCGCCATAGTTTGTCTTGTTCATGTTTCCAGTTCTTGGACAAAGCTGCTGGTTTCGATTTCTGTTTCTAGCTCTTGGTCTTCAGGTTTTCGTGGTCAGTTTCTTGACTATTTCAGTTTTACAAAGTTGGGTTGTAGTCGGTTGTTTTGTTTAGCTTGGTTCGGCGTTTCCAGTCTGCTCCGAGCTTCCTCCTGGTTGCTATTATTCTAGCCAGACTTGGGTTTGTTTATGCTTACATTCTCGGTCTTGCTATTGTTGGATAACGATCTGTGTGGTTCTTTGGTCAATTTGGTGGAGGCTACTTTGGCTTCTAGGCATCCGATTTTCTCTTGCTTCTTCTCGGTGTTCTTGGTGTTTTCACAGGTTGCATGTTGTATATATTGTGTATGTATTGGTTTTCTCAGACTTTTTGAATTGATCTCTGGCCTTCTCTACACCTTTTCTATCTTCTGCCGTAAGTCAGGGGTTGGTGGCCATTTTTGCAGTATTGGGATTTCTTGGTCAGTGCTTTGGTCACTGTTCTAGTCAAACTTCTTACCCCTTTGTAGTTTCTATTTCTGGCTGTCTCGGTTCTCCAAGTGACCCGGTCCACCTGCTTGGTTTTGGACTTTTGTTTGGGCTGAAATTTTTTTCCCAGATTTCCTTTTCTCAGCTCCTGTTGGCAAGCCTTTTTGCTGGGCCTGTTTTTATTGGACTGTTGGTGTTGCTCGTTATTTGGTCTTTTTTTTATCCTCTTTGTTTCTTTATTAGGCTGCTCTTATTTCCTTTGGCAGACTGGTTCAGGTTCTTTTGGTCTTGGGTGATCCGGTTCTTTTTGGATCATCTTTGGCATGGGAAAAAAGAAAGCTGGAAATTCAAATTTTTCTGGGATGATTCCCCTAAACCCCAGCCTGCTCAACAGTTTGCTATTGTAGGGAGTGTTACTTCCTCTTCGATGATCAATTTGGTGGAGCATAAGAAGGTAAATCTTCCCTCTCTTAGTATCTCTTTAACTCTTGGTGAAGAAGATACAACTTCTGAAAAATCTGAATTTGAATCACATCTGATGAAATTGATGAATCCAAGTAATGCTGCCAATTCTAAGGGTGCGATAGAAAATAAAGCACCATGGGTAAATCTTTTTAAAGATAATAGAAAGATGGACGAAAATACCATGTTAAAAGTTTTTGAAAATCAATTCGAAGAAGTGATCTTGGATATCTCGGATGAAGAAAATATTGAGGACAAGTAGGGATATGGTCTAGTTGGATATTTCGCCGGTCGATTTTCGAGGAAAGTGGTTCTTCTCCAACTATGTGACTCGTGGAAGGTGGATTATAAATATTTTGTGCATGCAAGTGGTTGGTTGGTGTTCAAATTAGAAATGGATGTTGATAGATTAAGTGTATTGCATAGGGGTCCATATTTGGTTTATGGGAGACCTTTAATGCTAAAAGTTATGCCACGTTATTTTGACTTTGATGATAAGGACGTGAGCACTATGCCGGTTTGGGTAAACCTACCGGGGTTGTCTTTAGAGTTTTGGAATACGAATACCTTGGGCAAAATTGTGTCTAAGGTTGGAAAACCCATCTCAACCGACAAGATTATGGCAACGAGAGGCCGACTTTCCTGTGCAAGAACTCTTGTCGAAATTGATGCTTCTATTGAACTTGTGCGGGAGGTTAAGATTAGGCTCCCAAATGGCACGTTGAAGGAACAAGAAATTGTTTATGAACATGAACCAAAAATTTGTGGTTCTTGTAAAGTGTTCGGTCATACTCCTCTTGGATGCAACATTAAACACGCGGGGGGAAGGGGGACAAAGGTAAGGCAAAAATGTGGTGTCTTCCAATGTATTAATTCGGGATACTCATGGGACAAAAAAGCAGGATGGAAATTCAGCCGCTACTTCACAGTCCCCTCCAACCGAGATAGCAAACCGTGGGAAAGTTACTGGGCAGCAATCTGGGGTTTTGGATGAGCAACAAAGGCTGCATCTTAACCAAAATACAAAGCACTTAATTGATGACCAACAAGGCCAAATTCTTGGCCAGGGTAAGGAACCGTTTGTTGAGGTTATTAGCAAGAAAAATCGAGCTGTTTCGGGGGGAAATCTGCTCTTGATGGGTACTCAAAAATCTGGACCAATTTCGTCATCTTATCCAAATGAGGCAGATTCAAGTAATTTGAAAAATGAAAAGCTCAAAGGCAAGGTCGAGGAGAAAAGGAAATCGGGTTCGAAAGTTGACAAGAAGAAGGGTGCATCCCTTGCTTCGACATCATGAAAATTGCTTCTTGGAATATTAGGGGTATGAATTCACCCCTAAAATAAAATGGGATTCAGAAATTTATCATGCAACATTGCATTGATATTATGGGTATTTTAGAGACGAAGTTGATTGATAAAAAATTGAAGAGAATTTTCTGGAATAAATTCGATGGCTTCATGCATATAAACAATTTTTGCACTCATAGAGCCGGACGGATCTTGATTTTGTGGAATCCATCTAAAGGGTTTTTGGATGTGATGGAGGTTCATTCACAAATCATTCATTGTAAAGCTACTTGCAAGGTAACATCTTATACCTTTCTTGCTAGTTTTGTTTATGGATTTCATACATTGGTTAACCGGCGACCACTTTGGAATAACGTTATGGAATTCAACGCTAAAGTTTCGTTGCCTTGGATTATTCTTGGTGACTACAACAATGTTCTCAAATTTGATGAGAAATGTAATGGGACGGACGTTAATCCTTACGAAATTAAGGATTTTGCAAATTGTTGCCTTCATGTGGGTCTTATAGATGTGCGCTGTATTGGTTGTTATTACACGTGGACTAATAACTCGATTTGGAGCAAAATTGATAGGGCAATAGTCAATGATATTTGGGTACGAGATGGGCCATATGTTGATGCAAAATTTCTACCTTCCGAATGACTTTCCGACCACTCCCCTTGCATTGTTTCCTTTTATGACCGTGTTGGGGCGCTAAAAAACCTTTCAAGTTTTTTAACATGTGGACTAAGCATGAGGATTTTCATGATCTTATTCAAACTTATTGGAACTTTAATGTACGGGGGACAAAGCAATTTATTCTTTGTGAGAAGTTGAGCAAACTAAAGGGTGGTTTGAAGGAGCTTAATATTAAGCATTTTGGGCACATTTCGACTAAGGCAAATGAGGCTAAAAATGAATTGGAGGCTGCCCAACTACAACTACATAATCAGCCCATGAATGAGAATCTTCAACTTATGGTTGCTAAATTGAGGAAAAAAGACGATGGCTTATGCGAAGCAGAATGTAGTTTTTATTATCAAAAGGCAAAATGCATCTTCCTTAAGTAAAGTGATAAATGTACAAAGTTTTTTCCTTGATGGTTAAAAGGAACTCAAGGAGGAATTTTATAGCTATTATACTTAAAGAGGATGAGATGTATATCACATCACAAGATCAAGTTGCTACGGGATTTGTAAATTTTTACACTACTTTTCTGGGAAAAAACTGCCCAACACGATCTATTGAGATGGATATTGTTACAAACAGTCCCTTAGTTTCATTGGAACAAGGTAACTCTTTGATTCGGGACATTTCTTATGAGGAGATCAAAGAAGCACTTTTTGGTATTGGAGATGATAAGTCTCTCGGGACGGATGGTTATACTTCTTGTTTTTTCTAGAATGCATGGGGGACTATTGGTAATGAGTTTGTTAGAGCTATCATGGAGTTCTTTTCTTCTAGTTCCATCCTCAAACAAATCAATCACACGGTCATTGCTTTGGTACCTAAATCTGGTCACATACCGCATGTTGGGGATTTTAGGCCTATCTCTTGTTGTAATATTACTTACAAAGTGATCGCTAATACGTTAAAAATTACATTCCGATTAATTTTCCTTACTTAAGTTAAATGTGTCGTCTTAAATAGTATTATGGTAAGTAAGGGTCATTTCCCACAGAGGATTGATTCAATTATGTCAATTGCGCACTAAAAAGTAAAATTAATAATAATATACAAAATAGATTAAATAGGGGGGTTTGGTTTGTTGAACTAAGGAAAACGAAAAATTTAAGACTTGAAATTTGAAATAAACAAATTTGTTCTTGATTGAATGTGAGAAAATGTGATTGGGGGATATTTCGTAGCCACGAGAATGATTTTCATGTCAGTAATCACAAAGATTTTTGTTCTCAAGATTAACAACAATTCGAGAATAATTATAAGCTCAATTACCTAAATCTCTTCTTACATGTTAGTCGAATAAAACAAGCTCTTTACTCAACCCTATTCATTAAACAACCTAGAACAAGCTCTCTAGATTTAATTTAATAAACGCATTACGACAAAAAAGATTAATTGAATTAATGGTAAACTCGTAAACTCGGTTTACTAACTTAAGTGTTAATTCACATACATTCAATTGAAAATTCTTCATAATTTATCGAAATGTAATTGCTACTAGGTTTTAGAATCAATAACTATTACGTATTACTAATCCCAAAATAGCATTCATCGAAATAACTTAATAATTTAGTTGTACACCTAAACAATCAAGAAGAACAAAATAAACATTTAATACAATGGATTAAACACATTAATCAAGAAAATTATAAAGCACAAATTAATTGAAAATCATAACTCAGGTTTGAAATAATCCCTAATCACACATATAATTAGTTACCCATTAAATATTCACAAATAACTAACAATTTCTTCTAAAATATTGATGAAAAAAGTGAAAAGAAAAACGTATTGATAAAGAGAGAAATGGTAGAAAATCCTTCAATATCAATGGGTTATCTTCTCCAAACTAATGCACCATCTCCATGTTCTAATCTTCTCCAAAATGTCTAAAAAAATATAGGTGAAAGGAAAGGGAAAAAGAAAAAAAACAAAAGGCAAGAAGAAGAAGAAGAACCAACTGCTACCCTAGAGTTCCAAGAATGAAAATCTTGTGTTTGGTTGAATGTTTTAATCTAAAACCTAAAGAAAATTGCAGCATTGGTCCCTGAAATTTTGAAAACAATTAAAAATGGCTCGGGTGGCGCCTAGATGTTGGAATAGTGGCACCTGGGCGGGGCCCAGCTCACTGAATTTTTTTTTAATAGAAACATCCTCTTCAACATCTTCATACTTTTTTTATCTTTTTCGTCTTTTCTCGCATAAATACCTTCAAATCATTGTTCAAAGTTGGATTTTTGCCCACACAATAAAAATAACTAAATTAAGTAATAAATCACTAATAAAACTCACAAATATCTAGTTTAATGGCCCGGAATAGTGCAAAAACCAGCGCTTACCAATCGCTAAAATTCTTGTTTCTAGAATGAGGCCTATTTTGGGTAATAGTGTGGACCATGCACAAGTCACTTTTGTGGAAGGTAGAAATATGACGGAAAACATTCATCTTGCCCAAGAACTCATGAGGCAATACAATAGGAAAAGGGTTGCTTCAAGATGCCTACTAAAAATTGATCTTACGAAAGCTTACGATTCGATAAGTTGGAATTTCCTTATAGATGTTCTTGAAGGGTTGCACTTTCCCTCAAGATTTGTAAATTGGGTCATGGAATGTGTTACTTCTACAACATATTCCATAGCTTTGAATGAGAGTATGCATGGTTTCTTCAAAGGAAGGAAAGACCTCCGACAAGGTGATCCCCTCTCTCCCTTTTTGTTCGTGCTTTGTATTGAATACTTCTCAAGAATGCTTAAAGCTACCATGAATGATAATGACTTCAATTATCACCCTAAATGTGGCCCCATAAAATCACTCATTTAGCTTTTGTGGACGACTTGATGCTCTTTGCTAGGGGAGATATCATATCGGTGAAAATTCTTATGGATTGCCTTGCGAATTTGGGTTTGGTATCGGGTTTAAGGATAAACATCCTTAAATCCAATTTGTATACAGCAGGGATTCATAGACAACTACTTGACGATATCTTGCAACAGACAAATGTCCCAAGGGGTAGTATGTCATTTCGGTATTTAACCATTCCCCTTGCGTCGGTAAAACTTAAAGTAAGTTGTTATGCTCATTTTCTTGACAAAATTACAACTTATATTGGTGCATGGAAACACTCTTCATTATCTTATGCGGGCAAGATGGAACTTATAAGGGCGGTCCTCCAAGGAGTTGAATATTTTTGGCTTTCTATCTTCCCTATCCTGGCTACAATTATATCAAGGATTGTTAGCCTTTGTCGGAAGTTCCTTTGGTGATCTAAGAAGTCGTTGGTTGCGTGGAAGGATCTTTGCCTCCCAAAATATGAAGGGGCCTTGGATTGAAGGACTTGAAGAGTTGGGACTTAGCGTTATTTGCTAAATCCCTTTGAAACATTCAACATAAAAAGGACACCCTTTGGATTCAGTGGATTCATCAAGTCTATCTTAAAGAGACATGTATTTGGGAGGTTTTTCCTAGAAAAGCTCACTCTCTACTCTTCAAAAAATTGCTGGAAATCAGAAATTTATTGAGGTAAAGTGGGGCTGTTACCCACAATCTTTCGCATGGACAAAATCGGCAATTTGCCTAGCTGGATAGAGTAAATAACCTAGGTATTCATTCTGATTTTTCTTCAGATCAGCAACCTATTTTCTCCTAAAATAGTGGCTGTTTCAGCAAGTCGATTGGAGCTAACAAGGAACGAAAACATGCAGCAGTGGACAGATTACTAGATAGATTGCTAAGCTGGTCCGTTGAAGGAAAATGTTGCACAAAATTGGCCTATGAATTGCTCCGGCCGAGGGGTTCAAAAAAGGTGTGGGTGGACGATGTTTGGAGATCTTGCATTACTCCAAAGCACATCACTCCTTCTTGCTTTGGTTAGGGGCCCAATCAAAGCTTCTAACTAAAGATAAATTATATTATTTGGATATTGACCGTAATTGTGTTCTCTGTGGGCAAAAGGCGGAGACGGGAACTCACCTATTCTTTGAATGTTCTTTCACATCGACCATATGGGAGAGAATTAGAAAATGGCTCGGCATTAAAAGATCTATGTCTACACTTACTAGCTCTCTTAAGTGGATGAAAAAAGAGGCACGAAGGACTTCATGGAGAAGTGAGGCTAAGAGGATTGCACTTGCTAGCACCGTTTACTATCTTTGGTTAACACGCAATAGGAAGATTTTTGAGGACCTTTCACCTACCGGGGATTGCATTGTGAGACGGATCAAGACACACGTATACAAAGTTATGTTCTCTTTGTATTCGGATGTCTTGATCCATTTTGAATCTTAGCGTTAGGTCATTAATTTTGTGCACTCCACTTTTTCTGATTT